TTAATCACACTGCACAGCAGTGCACAAGGAATCGAAATCCGAGTTTTTTAAATTAATTCCGATAAACCTTTTTGGGGTAAGCCCCCGCATTGTCCAAGACCGCTTCCTGGATCCGCCAGTTGCGAATAAGTCACGGTCGATACCGAGCTTCGGCGGGACCAGGCGCTGTATACGTTGTTCTTTCAATGAAGAGGTGGACAGACACCTAGCCCCACATCCTACTGCTATGCCCGTGCTTCTGTGGGTGAAGCACTGAAGCATCACGGAATCCCACAGGACCTGCGAGTCGACGAGGTGGCCGCTTTGGCCGCCGGGTACTGCAGCTCCCTGGAATTGCCTGGGACCGACGGCAAAACAACAGCTCCGGTGGTGCCCCTATGGGCCGTAGTAATTAGTGAATTTCCGTAATGTAGAGATCATATCCTCAATGATCTCCATTACCATTTTGTATTCCTAAACAGTATGACAGACCAATTATGCTTGCCTACGTTCAGGCATTACCTCTGATGGTCATACGCCCAGTACAACATGTGTTGTCTGTCAAACAACAATCGACGACGGGATCCCTTCTCATCATCTCTTAAGCCATCGGTTGTCAATTCACCCACCCAGTTTCCCTAAAAATAGGCGGTCAGATTCGGCCTGGGTCCTTACGACCCCTCTAGATTCGCCAAAGACGGGATCGGATCACCGTTATTGCACCCGTCTTAGTGCCTTTAAGCTTCGACCACGGACGTCGGACGGGGTGATCGTTCCACGAATGTACGCACCATCCAGGCCTAGGATGCATCGAGGTTTAACCCGCGCCCCACTGGGGGGGGGCTATTTATAGCCCCCCCTCCCGTTTTTCTGCAATAATTTCCAAACCGCTTAACGGATCGACGCCAAACTTTCAGTACCTCTGGCTGCATCAATTTGACACCTTGTGTCGAAATTTGAACTTTGTAGCTACCATAGGTCGGCCGGAAATGACGTCAGAGTGACGTCATGTTCGGCCGATTTCGACGCAAAACATTGAACCACGGCAATCGCTCCCAAGAGCTCAGTTTTTAAGCTAGATCCAATTTCTTTGCATGAAAGAACTCAGAATTGACCGCGCTATCAAACTGCTATCTCGGATTTTCAAAATTTTGAAAATTCTGAAAATTTTATATAATAATATTCAAAATTGATATTTTTATATTTTTCTCAAAAAGTTTTTGACTTTTCGAAAAAGCCGGAATATATGTGACAGAACGCATGATTATGACTAACTCTAGCAAGTTTTAGCTAAATATCTTCAAAAATGGCCAAGTTATACGCATCATTGCAAAAAATTCACAATTATTAATTTTTCAAATCAATTTTTCAGTACGTATTTGACATCGTACACCAATATAAATGGCACCATCGTGTTCCTGAGCTCAAACTGCATCCAATAGACACCTTTTTTGTTGAAAAATTTTAACTTCAAAATTTGACCTTTTTTGACCTGAAAGTGACCTGACCTAAGCTAAGTTCGACTCAAAATGACCTCGAATGACACAGACGACATCAAATTCGAAATCTATGGCCTAAATGGACCATAAAACATGTGTCACGTGACCGACGCATGGTATAATATTTTCGTGACCTGTGATGACCTGACCCTGACCTGAAAATCAAAGTACAAGTTTGGTACCCTCAAGGTATCTAGAGAATCTGTTCACGAGTGTGGAAACCAAAAATGAGCCTGATCTGACTTGTAAGACGGCGGCCAGAGCCCAAAAGGTGAACAAGCCAAAATGCTAATAATTTTTACTTTGACCTGACCTGTGACGTCATCGGTGCCCTCGAGGTCAATGAAATTAGGTTTCGCTCGACAGTTTTTCCGGGGCTATCAGACGCCGTTTGAATTTTGACGATCGGCCCAGTAGTTTCGGAGTTAGGAGGGGGGGCTATGAATAGCCCCCCCCCAGTAGGGCGTGTTATACACAGACCCCAGTGGGGCGCGGGTTAAAAGAATGCAGTCTGTAGATCAAGCAACATAACAATGGTGGTATGCAACCACATTAAAATATCTCCCCGGCTCCCGCAACGTTCCAACGCCCCTCCGTTATGCATTCGCCTTGTGTGTCCGCCGAGCCGGCTTGCCTCCAATGACGTCATCGGCCGGCCGGCGGCGTTCAAGGTCAAACGGCTGGTGTCCTTACCTGGAGTTCTATAGCCTTGGATTGAACTGTGATATTTGCTCGATGTGTGCCTCTTGTTCTCCTTTTAGACGCTGATGACGGTGATTTAGCCGAAACGCGTTCGTCTATCATTTTTGTTCCGTGTTATTATACTTGTCTCAACTGAAATATAACTGGACTATGGTGAACGCAATAGGTGCCTCATAACTCCCACCATGATAAAACAAATCGATGAAAACGGAATTCATCGCAGACCAACTCTTGTTTGTTTGTTTATTGGAGCTTTAGGGCGCGCCGACTGCTGGGGTCATTTTGCACCAATCGCAGACCAATTTGATTAGAAACAAAAGTACCTACATACATATACCTAGCTGCTCGCGAGTATAAGGCCAAGGTTCAGTAAGACGATAATATTTAGCACTGCACGACCGCATTAGTTATAAAAGGATTACAAAAGAAGAACGAAGACATTGAAGGATCCAGTGCTCTCCCTGGGCAGAGACGGGTAAAGGAGGGCTCCTCCAACCGCTGACCTTTGCTGAGTAAAGCTGCGGCCCGCCGGCCGCCGCCGAGCCATTTACATTCATTTCAGACGCGCTGACGGCGCTAATGTCATCCCGCCGGAGACCTACGGCAAGGCAATCTCCATTCCACGTCTTAACCGCATACTGGCGCATATCTGAACGTCGCGATGTGGCTTAATCTCCGTCATACATAGTTGAAATGGTCTGAGATAACATCACTTGTTTTCGCTACCGCACGTATTTCTGAAGACGTTCTTTGGGCTCGGTGTTTGAAGACTAACCGTTCTAGAGCCGTGTTGAAACAAAAGACTTCAACTCAGCTAATCTTCTTCTATGCTAATCTTCTTCTATGATAAACATGAACTGAATAACTTACAACAAGAATTCTTACAAAAAAGCATGACCTATGGTTACATAAAATCATCAACAGTCCATGACCCTCGCCCACCCAATGACCGGTTTTTCTGTCGCAATTTCATCCCGCCGAATATGTGATTTCCGCCACTGTCGAAACGCCTGCTCTTGGACTGATCTGGCTCTCCAGAGTCCGGGCGCCACCGGGGTCCGGTGGCGTCTGATCTACGGCCTTTCATCTACCGTCTCCGCCACCCCCCACCCCCCCCACCCCCGGCCTGAGGCACTCGCGGCGCCACTCGGCACAAACTCAGTTACCGCCAGCCCCGCCCCGTGGGGCAGCACGCTCACCTCCCTCTGCCCCTCACTCCCCTACTCTTCCTGAGTAGGCATACCCACGGGAATCCAGACCGGATGTCGGTACTTCCGGTCACCGGATACTGTCAGTACTTCCGGTCACCGGATACTACTTCCGTCCGCCATTGTTCGAGCAGGGTTGAAGTCAATTTATAGAGTTGGTTGAAAGCAGAAAGGTGGTGAAGTTAAGCTGGGTCGACGAGTAGGAGTCGGAGTTGGAGTCGGTCAGATCCACAGTTCTGCCCGGAGTTGGAGTCACCAAAATCTTACCGACTCAGAGTTAACGCTGCATGGCTCAACGTCATGCACCGCATCTGTTTGATTGACGATACTGCGCTCAAAATTAGATTTTGTCGAAAGACAGCCACAGGCCATTTTGTGATTTTGGATGAACGTTTTCAGCGAAAGAAGCAAAGACGGTGAATTCCCCAGAACCTGCTTTTTAATTCTGCATGTTATTTTTAATGCATATTTGCAACGCAAAGCCTTGGAATGCACAAGGGATCATTTCAGGCAGGATAAAAACATTTCCATTATGAGCTTCAATATCATGATATGGATTTTCATAGAATCTTCCAGAGTCAGAATTGGAGTTGGAGTCAGAGTCTATTATTAAAGCTGGAGTCAGAATTGTAGTCACTCTAAAATCCATCGACTCCACAGCCCAGCAAGCATCAATCTGCACTAACAATTTTTCCTATTTAACTCAGAATTTTTATTTGATTAAATGCTAAAATATACCAGCCAGGTTACTTTCATATGATGCAACTAATGCTAGGTGATTCACCTGTTTAACTCACCTGTTGGGTTTCCTCAGCCTTGCTCTTAGGAGAGGAGTGAGAAGGAGGGAAACCCAAGTCGTTCAGAGACGCGCCAATTCCAAAGAATGTAGTTGGACACAAGCTGGGGCCAGCGGGTGGGCCTTGAGTCAGGGAACTGGTGTTGTGCGTCTGCATGTGAATTGTGGAAACTCGACAAGTCGACAAACTCGACTCGTAGTTGGTGCTAATGCTTCACAAAGAAAGAAAGAAAGAGAGAGAAACGGCTGTGAAGTGTAATGCAAATGCTGTCTCATCCGCAAACAAAATGGGTAAATGACATGTGAAGGAAGGCCAGGCATTGTGGGAATGCAGGAATCAGGAGGCAAGTGGTGAATGACTGATTGGAGCTCCATGGCGCATCTGACCCTGTCCTTGCTTGTTACGAACAGGGCGCATACCATGGGGGGGGATCCAATGGTTTGACATTATACCGATCGTAATCTGTCATGATGATTGAAGGGATATAATTGTGAGATTAGCAATGGATTTGATGACCTAAAAAGGCCATTACCTCATCACCTAACAATAATTTGCGTGCCCTCCTAAAGTCTGCTTACCCAATCTCTACCTGTCTAGGACAGGTAGGGGAGCTGGGCTCATGGGCACATTAATGGTCAGACTTGAAACATTATTCTTCAATGAAAGAAAATATGTCCTTGATGACCTGTAAAAATGACTGAGTCTGTGATAGGGGCATCCAGACAGAAGACTGGGCTGACTACACAGAACCAAATACCAATGTGAGGCAGTCTCTCAGTCCCAGTCTCATCCAGCCAGCAGTGCGGCAGGCTCACCTCATGGGTGCTGTCTGGATAGAAGCTGATGCTCACAGCAGACTTGGATCTGAAGGAGGGATCCCTCCTGGTGGTAGGTGAAGTGATGAACTCCTGTGTCAATGCCACTGGTTCACCACTAAGGCGACTGATAGAGCACCACCTGAAAACAAACACAGGATGTCAGTGGCCACATAAAGGCAATGACCAAGAACTTTGGACCAAGACTATCACTCAACTCAACTTGCCGCGACAAGCGATGAAAATGCCCATTGGGGAAGATGGTCAATTATACACCCACAACACTGCTGCTGAGTGAATTGCACTTCTGAACAAAGATTTGGTAATGTTTGAAATGAAAAGGAAGTAATGATTTGTTACTTGATGCAATTTATCTGACCAATAATGTGTTTAACTTTTTAGGTGATTTACTCGGCCTTGTGATGCAACAATCTAACCACAACTATGTACCACGGCCAAATATTTGAATGAATGTTTTACCGGTGATGTGAGTATTCAACGTGCACATCAGTTAATATGCAATGATGATCATGCAGTGAAACTCTGAAATATCAAAACGTCAAACATGACCGACTCAAGTACTTCACTCCATTTCAATTTCCTACAGCATCGATGACTAGGACCAAGGGCAGCCGGCAATATCAATCAGCGTTTTTTATCAGCGTTTGAGATACCAAATAAGGCAAGCATACCTTTCAACGGTCACAATACCAATAAATCCATCTAATAAATTACCCCTGACACCCGCAATGCGACGAAGGCAGTGACAAAGTGCAAATATATCAAGGTTTTTGTATTGACTTTGACCTGAGCGGTAAATCTACTGCAATAATTCGAAGAAAAATAATTCCGTTCACTCTTTACATCACCAGCTAATTACAATAATTTATAAAGATGCTTTGATGTGTTTATGAAGACTAAATGATCAAATTGCATCGGAAAATAACCGCAGCTAAGTTAAAACAGAGAGAAACATCAATTATAGAAGAAAAGACAGAACTCACTAGTTTGATCGCCAACCGCTCAAACACGATGCAGAAACTGGACAGAAATATTCATTTTCAAATAAAATCTTGTGTCTCGCTTCCTGACTGAAATGACAACAAAGACATTTCCTACTACAGCCTTCGTCATTATCCTCCTAACCCAATTTAGCTGCATTTTAACAGTAAAAATAACTGGCATAAATAACTCTACTTTCCTTCAATTTGGAAGCAGTCACGCATTGCTTACGAATATGGCGCAATATGGGCGTAGTTTTTTTTTCATTTTGCACACACAAAAGCACAAAAGGTGTCTTGAGAGAGGTGTAGGGTGGTGTCTGACTTTTTAGGAAGTAGGGGCATATTTATTTCGAAAATGCCGATTTTGAAGCGAAGCTGTTGTGGATGTGATCTCCAGAATGGGTCTATCATTGTGGGAGTTCTTACAATGGTAAGCTAATCAGAGATTGATCAATTATGCCTCTAGTTGTAGCAGGTGTTCATTGTCGACCTGCCTTGTCATGGGTTCTGACTTCTGAGCAGTGCTGCGGACTGCGGAGTTGGAGTCAGTCGGAGTCGATATTTGACTTACGTCTTACCTGGTTGACTTACCTGGTTGACTTACCTGGTTTGGTTCCTTTTGCGTGCGGGGAGGAAAATGGTGGAGAAAGTGAGAGAGGAAGGAACAAGGAACCCTGCATTTAAGAGACGCGCCAGTCAGTAGGAAGTTTGTGCTGTAGATTATGCATTACAAACTGACTGGAGAAGTGAGTCTCCTTCTCATATTTACAGGAAGTAATTACTTAATGCACAAAAGTTCAGCATGGAGAAAGGTTTGAAGAGGCATGGAGAATGATATTTCTGCTCGTAGTCGAAGTTGGGGTTGCCAAAATCTTACCAACCCTGACTCCGGAGTCAGAGGTAATGTTGCAATGGCTCAATATTATGCACTGCACCTGTTTTATTGACTATACCATGCAACTTTTGGATTTTGTCAAAAAAAGGTCATTTTGTTGTTTAGGATGAACATTTTCAGTGAAAGATGTGGAAGAACCTGGTGTTAACCACTGGACCTGGTGTTAACCAACGAAGAAGGCATGATTCGTAATCTCGAGCACCTTCCTGGACTCGCCAGAAGCGATCATGTTGTCCTGAAATTTACTATTGTTTGCTATGCGGATGTGTGTACCTCACACCGCCCACCGATTCTACACATCAACTACGAGCGCCTTGCAGGTGTCCTGAGGTCACGAAACTGGGATGATATCAGAAACTTGGACCTGGAAGAAGCATACGAATCGTTCAAGTCGCAAATCACCGGAGACGTTGAAGACTGTTCGGTCAAGAGAAGCGCCCACTCCAGGAAGAACCTCTACATGAATCGGGCGGCGATGCAGCTGAGAAAGAGGAAGCAGGTGCTGTGGGGCGTCTACCGTCAAACTCTCGACAACGTGGATCATGCCCGGTTTGTGAGGTGCAGAAATCAGCTTAGGGGCCTGACGAGAAAACTTCGAAGGGACCACGAGTCAAAGCTGGCATCGAACCTCAGACAGAACCCCAAAGCATTTTGGAGGTACGCCAACTCTAGGCTGCGTACTAGGTGCCGTGTTGAAGACCTGATGGATGACAACGGTGAGCTTGTGTCCAGCAACCGAGCAAAAGCTGAAGTACTAAGCAGGTTCTTCTCCAGCGTCTACACCTCAGAGGGAGCTGAGCCTCCCCCAGCTCTGCCATGCAACTTCCAGGGACCCCCACTGGTTGACGTGGATGTATCGCCACAGAAAGTTGAGGCTAAGCTGGCGGTCTTGAAGCCAACTAGCTCGCCAGGGCCGGATGCTATTCATCCCCGAGTGCTCCGCGAGTCTGCAGGCCCCCTGTCCGTACCCTTGAGTTTGCTATTTGCAAAATCACTGGAAGCAGGAAGTCTCCCCTCTGATTGGAAGATTGGCGAAGTAGTCCCCATATACAAGAAAGGCGACCGCAGAAACCCCGCGAGCTACCGACCAGTGAGCCTTACCTCCATTCCGTCAAAGGTGCTCGAGTCCATCATTCGCGACCATCTTCTTCAACACTTCACGGACAGTGGCCTGCTGCATGCGGCTCAGCACGGATTTCTCCCGAGGAGATCATGTTCCAGTCAGCTACTGGAGGTGATGGAAGATTGGAGTGCTGCATTGGAAGATGGTGACCCAGTTGATGTCGTATACCTCGACTTCGCCAAAGCCTTCGACTCGGTGCCGCATCAGCGACTCCTCAGTAAGCTGCGCGCTTATGGAGTCGGGGGGAAGCTGCTGAGTTGGATTGAGGCTTTCCTTGTTGGTCGTACTCAGAGGGTTGTGCTGCAGGGATCGAGGTCTGACTGGGTCCCCGTCACCAGCGGTATCCCCCAGGGATCTGTCCTTGGTCCCGCCCTCTTCACGATTTTCGTCAATGACATGCCCCAGCAAGTGTCGAGCTGTGTCAAGCTGTTTGCAGACGACACAAAACTCTACCGTCGTGTGACAGGTGACCCTGCCGACCTTCAAGCTGACATCAACGCTCTGGTCAACTGGTCGAAGAAGTGGCTGTTGCCCTTCAATGTGTCGAAGTGCAAAGTGATGCATGTCGGAGGTCTGAATCCTGAGCACACATACTTACTGGATAACGCCGCGATTGAGAGCGTGAGCGAAGAGAGGGATCTGGGCATCATTATCGACGAGAACTTGAAGTTCCACCAACAAACTGCTGCTGCCATTGCAAAAGCGACCCAGATGTTGGCTGTTGTGAGGCGCTCATTTGCTACCCTCGACGTGATCACGCTGCCTCTGCTGTACAAGTCTGTGGTGAGACCGTTCCTCGAGTACGGCAACATTGTATGGGGGCCATTTGGCAGAGTCAACCAGAAACGGTTGGAGCGGGTACAACGTCGAGCGACTCGCATGGTTGACACCATCAGACATCTCCCATACACCGAGCGTCTGCGCCGTCTCGACATACCGTCGCTGTACTATCGTCGTCGCCGAGGGGACATGGTGACAGTGTTTCAGCTGTTCCATGGTGGCATGTCAGTGGATCCTGAAGCGCTTCCGACCAGACACAGCTCCGACCGCACAAGGGGACATCAGTGGAAGCTGCAGAAACCGAACGCAAGAACGCTCACGAGGAGGAACACCTTCAGCACAAGAGTCGTGAATGACTGGAACTCTCTGCCAGCTTCTGTAGTGTCTGCCACCAGCGTCAATCAGTTCAAGGCCAGGCTGGACGAACACTGGAAAAGCCTGAAGTATGACATTCCATACCCATAAGAGCCCAGACTGTCCTAGTCCTAGAGCTCGATGAGAACGGGATCTCCAGGCCAAGTGGCCTTTTCCCTCCCGATCACTGTGAAGGTAAGGTAAGGTAAGAAGTTGAATTCACCAGAACTTGCTTTTTAATTCTGCATGTTATCCTTATATTTGCAGCATATTTGCAATGTAAAGCCTTGGAATGCACAAGGGATTGTTTCAGGCAAGATGAAAACATCTCCATTATGAACTTAAATATCATGATATAGATTTTAATAGAAGCGTCCGGGGTCTGAGTCAGAGTTAGAGTCTGAGCTGATTTTTAAGTTGGAGTCCGAGATTGAGACACTTGAAATTTTAAAGTCCATCGACTCTACAGCCCCGCTTCTGAGGTATACTTAAATAAAAATGTTTTCCAGCTTTGTAAAGTTTTGCTTATAATTGTATTATGCATTGCCAATTTAAAGGTCATCAATTTCTTTGTTACTGGAAAGGAGAACAGTTTTGAATCTGATGTCATTGTATTAAAGAGTCAGGACTGTAAAAATCCTTGTTACCTTTGACATGTCTGGTGTAATGGGCAAATTGCACCACATTTTTGGTGCAGCATTCAGTGTAACATAGTGTGAAATGTTGCCAAATGGATGAGTGGCAACATTTTTGTGCTGGCAGATTATTTCAGAAATGTTGGCGCAAGACAATGAGGCCTGACCTTAGACAACTGCACTCACTGCATTCTGTATTCAAATCGGGTGCCCACATACTTACCCCTGGGTTGACATTTGATGACACAGCCCTTGGATGATTGGGACTACAAAGGCACAGTGTAGTGTTTGCTGTGAGTGTGCCACTTTCGGTTGTACTGTTGTAGAGGTGGTCATTGTCGTGCCGGGATATTGTCCAACAGTTTGACGTAGGTAGCACATCTCGAAGTACAGACATCTGGTGACGCCGTGACGGGACTCGTGGCTTGTGCGTGAGAGGCCGGGCGAGAACGAACCGAACGAACGACGACGCAGACACTGCACTTGGGCTGGTTGATCTTCGGGGTCCTGACTGCTGAAGTTATGTCTGCAGGGGACTGTTACCTGAGCCAGGTGACTGGCATTGAGAACTGTCTTTCAGTGGGGGATCATAGGGCTCAGAAAGCCACCTTAATTCAGCACTAGGTGCCGGGCTGGAAAGCTTGTTAATGTGGTAGTTTGTAGAGTTAGACTTTACAGCACTGGGGCATTGTCGGTGCTAGGGCGCTTTGTGTGTGTGATGCACTTCAGACTTACCATGACGTCCCAGTACACGCTTACACTGTGTCCGCGAGCGGCCGTGACTGCTCGCGGAACCGGCGCCCTTGTGACAGCTGCTGACCCCTGTGACAGATGCTGACCCTGTGACAGCTGCCTGCCAACCCTGTGACAGCTGCCTGCCAACCCTGTGACAGCTGCCTGCCAACCCTGTGACAGCTGCCTGCCAACCCTGTGACAGCTGCCTGCTAACCCTGTGACAGCTGCTTGCTAACCCTGTGACAGCTG